GGAGACAGGGTGAAAGATGGGAAATAGAAAAGAAACATCTTTGAATATTACAGTGATACGGGGGGAGGTGTTTTAAAATAGAGATAGAAATAAGAGGAGAATAATTGTATGTGTGTGTCTGTGTGTGTGTGTGTGTGTGTGTGTGTGTGTGTGTATATATATATATATATATATATATATATATATATATATATATATGAAAGAACAAGAGGGAGGTTTAGAAACTGAAGGGCGGTAATATAAGGTATGTGTAAAAATATGAAACAATGAAAATGAAATGTAATGTAATACTATTATGTCTATTTGTATCAAAATGTATAATAGCCAGGTATCACACCATTCATGCATTCATATGTATAAATAATATAAAATTAAAAAAACTTGATGTGGGGGGAGGAAGGAGACAAAGACAAAAAAAAAAAACGCTTTCAAAAAAACTTGCTAAGAAAAGTGCAGGGACTAGTCCAGGCAGTTGCCAGGAGTCAAAATGGATGTGAAGGCACACAGCTTTATGCTTTTCCCAATGTAATTAGTGAATTTAAACTTAAATTTTTATATCTTAAACTTATATACCGCTTCATAGTGCTTTTACAGCCCTATCTAAGCAGTTTACAGAGTCAGCCTATTGCCCCCAACAATCTGAATCATCATTTTACCCACCTTGGAAGGATGGAAAGACGAGTAAACCTTGAGCCGGTGAGGATCAAACTGCTGGAGTGAGCAGTGAGTTAGCCTGCAATACTGCATTCCAACAAGGGCTTAAGTACTGTATTACACTTAGTCTGAGGAAGCCAAGAGTTGAGTCCAGCACCTAGCTATGCAACTCACTGGGTAGCTCAAACTGTCTCACAGGATTTTTATGAGAATAATAAGATGAGGAGAGCCCTCATTGTTTGCACAACCAGAGGAAGAATGCGACCAACATAATAAATAGTTGCAACAGCTCTCATTCCAAGTACCTGGCTGAGGTGACACATCATGCTTACTTGGGATTAACCATGGTTCACTAAGCAAGCACTAACATCTTTTTAAAAAAATATTATTTTCAGTATTTTTCCAGTGCTAATTATTTTAAGGTATTATATTTGGAACAGAACATTTCAGTATATATCATATTCCTAATGATGCTATTGCATCTATCTACCCAGCCTATCAGAGCAAGAAAATGGGGCATGTTGCAGATCGATCTATTTTTTATTTAGCATATGATGAGTACATTACAAAGTAGTAACTATCCAACTATCAAGGAAGTACATTTGGTGGCACCTATAAAAAGGGCCTCCAGTGTGGTGGCTTCCTCCCTTCGAAACATCATTCCCCCAGAGATAAGATTGGCCCCCAGTTTCTTGCGTCTCTGCAGAAAAGGCGGACATTAATTTGTCAGCGAATTTGGAGAACCATTCGGAGCTGATTAAGTGGCTTATCTGATTGTGTTGCCACTGCGGCAGAATGGGACAGTTTGTGGGTGGGTGTGTTAAAACTGGATTTTTAACTTCGGATGTTTACATAATAATAGGTTTACCCAAAATATTACAGTATTTAGTAATTTTATTTGCAATTCCTTTCCAATAATTCCCACAGTAGAATTCTTCTGTTTACAGCATCCCACACTTGATCCGAAATTTTGTTGAGTTTCCAGTACCCCCCAAAATGCAACTTGGTTATCACTACAGATAAGAACCATTGGCATTAAGCTAGGATTCTACATGCCCAGATGTGTATTGAATCATTTTATGCTATTAGATACTAAATGCAATTGCTGATTTAATATCCATTCTCTTGGATAGCAAATTTTGGAGTTCTTCCATCTTCTTTAATAACCCTAAAATTTTGCTGTTTAAGGACAATCAGGCCATTTCATTATTAATTCTAGTTCTGTGTTTCTCAACCTTGACAACTTGAAGAGATGTGAACTTCAATTTTCCGTATTCTAGCTAGCATATTATTTGGGGAATTCTGAGAACTGAAGTCTACTTATCTTGACTTATCCACTTATAAGTAAAATCCATTTACTTATCCTCTTTTTTGACACTTCCATTTCTAATGATTCAGTCGTAATTACCCTTTTCTCTCATGGGTCTTAGCCTGATTCATGATATCCACCTCCCAATCTTTGTTAAAAGTTCTTTTGTTATCTTCTGTTTCTTCTAAGCAAGTTAGGGCTCTATCAAAATTTCTCACAAAAGGTTCTTGAGTAAATTATATTTAAGGATCATCTTCTTCCTTGATTACTAGGAGGAAAATAATCCAATGTTGATTTGACAAAAATACAACAACATCCTTCTCAGAGCATATAATTAACATGTGGGATTCATTGCCACTGGCTGCTTTCTTGGATGATTCAATCCAGGACTGGAGAAATTTATGGAGGCCAGTTCTGTTAAGGGCTGTTAAGTCTTGAAAATTCTATATTACCACTAGGTTGCCTCCAATACTAGTTACAGAGGGAAAATTGGAGGAGATAAGTATGTCTGCAAGTCCTTTTTTTTTAATGGAGATTTTCATATTTTTTTTAACATTTAAGGAATAAAGTAACTGCATGTAAGAAAAAAAGAAGAAAATGAATAAGGGCATAAGGGAAGGAAAACAAAATGTCATAAATAAGTATACAATTATCATAAATTTTAAATATTATTTCCTTATTTTGTTGATTAAATAATTAAATTGAATATATAAAACTACATTCCTCATCTTTACACATTGAAAAACAATACAAACTCTAAACATTAATATTTGTATGGGTATCACCGCTATTTTATCATTACCTAAAATAAAATCTATACCACCCAGAGTTCCTCTGTGAGGGAGATGGGCAGTCCTTAAATATGATAAAGCAAATAAGCAAACAAATGTGCATCTTATAAAAAAAGAACAATGAAAAATAGATAGCAAAAACAATAGGTAAAAACGGTATTAACTTCCAGATTCCCTCGCATTGTACCCAACTGGAGATTACCTATATTTATAAACAAATTTGCTTCTGATTATTATTTTACATGAAATATTTTTCCCTTTAAAAACTGTACTGCACTTGGTATGTCTTTTTGGGTAGAAGTACCTCGGAAGCATCTGGTTGGCCACTGTGAAAAACTAAGATGGCCTTTTGGTATGATCCAGCTAGGCTATTCTTATGTTCTTGTGTGTTTCTTTTTTATTGCTTTGTTCACATAATCCCCCCTCCCCTAAGAGCTTGATATTTTTTCTTATTATTCTATCAACCTCTACGATTGGCAATATTTCTTTCTAATCTTTGGCATACATTTGAACCTGAATAAAAATGTGTTTATTCCTTCAAACCAATTTTGCCTATTTTAATGTTTTAGATGTAACCTCGTATTAATGGTTTTGTTGATAGTCTGCCTGGGAAATGGTCAGATAAGAACTTGCTGCCAAGCAGTTTGTTACAGTATGTTTTGAAACTTAAGTACAAGCGATGCTCATTTTATCACGTTTAACTTGTGTGGGAAATCCACTAGGACTTAAGTGCATTCTGAAGCATGTAAAATCTGAAATGAAAAACTTTTAGTAGTAAGATTAGATCGATGTAGATTTATGTAGACACAAATACGCACACTGACTATACTTACAGATAGTCCTTGTTTAGTGACTGCCTTGAATAGCGATTATTTGCATTTATGATAGTGATGAAAAATAACTTTGCAATCAATCCCCACATTTACGACTTTTGCAGACATGAAAAGCAAAGCTGAAGTAATATTGTAAGCACAGCCAGGATTACACTCAGTGGCTGCTTCGCTTAACAACTGAGTTGTTGGTCCCAAATGTGATCACTGAACAAGGACTATAGTTTCATTAATTATATCTGAGTACATGTTTGGCGTACTGTGGGAATAACGTAGCCTAATATCTGAAAATGTCAGGTTGGCAGAATCCTTTTTTAGTGCATACTTCCAATATCAGAAGTGAGAGAAAAAGAGCTGAACAGTTCAGTCCTATTTAGTTTACACAGAAATAATCCTGATAAGCTCCAGTGGGAGTTTGTGTTAAGAAGGTTTAAAGGCTTACAGCCTTCTACCCAAAGCAGAAGCTGACTTGATGACACCTAACTGACTAATGAAGAAGGGGGGAAATGCTGTCACTGCATATCTTTTCTTCACTCCCTTTCTGAATAGAAAAGTAAATAAAAAAGGGAAGTCCCCATAGATCCATTTTGGGAAGATTTGTTGGGTTTTGAGGGACAGAAGCACCTACTGTAACCCTTAAAATATTTTACTGTCTAAAAAAGGGAAATGTCAACAGTTATGAAACATGATTGTTTTCTTAAGTCTATGCAAAGCTCAGTAAACCTATCTAGAGGTGGGTTTCATAGACGTTTACCACTGGTTCTCATCGCGCACACTCGCTTTGCGAGCACAAGCACCCGCCGCACATGTGCTTTGGTCGCACGCACAGCTTGTGCACATGTACATGGCTTTGACAATATGGCTAAAGAGGACAACATAGAGCCTGGGCAGATGGGCAGACCTGCCCACAGGTTGCCACTACTGATTCACCCACACTAATCTGAACTGGTTGAATACCACCTCTGAACCTATCTTGCTGGTCAAACCCACTTGCATTTTAAAAAAACCAAGAGAAAAGAGTGCTAAACCTACATGGGATTGAATAAGTGGGGTGGGAGGCATACTTTTCATCCTGATAGAGAGCTCTGTAAAGCTTTTAAAAGATGAAGATCAGCAAACTGGAGAATTGGCAGTTCTGCTGGGCACGTTTTACAAGTAATGGATTTAAAATCAAACCTCTAGGCTCTTTCTTTGACACAAGACTTGAAGTGACCTGTGAGGTTTGTAGAGTAAACTTGCCTTTCTGAAGAACTTGGGAATTGACCCTTCTGGTGTAATCCTGGATTTACAAGGTGTAAAAAACCAGAGGGTTGCAAAAAATAACATCTATCCCTCTCACTATTACTAAGTGCTCAGTCCTTGAGCAATCCCACACGCTTGCTGACTCTTCCCTTCTTGTTTATTTTCCTTTCCTAGGGCACTGAAACTCCAGAGAGTAACTACGGGGACCGTGAAAGTGGCTTCAGCGAATCAGATCTCTTTCCAGATGAAGACACCATGACCCTGGCCCAGCAGGAAGTCCACCATGAGTCTGATATGGACAGTGCCATTGAAAGCAACCACAGTACAGAAGCGTCTGTTGTGTGCAAGGTTGAGAAGGATGATGTGTTGAATGGCCTCTTCCTGCCTGGAAATAAGTGAGTACAAATACCATTGGAAAAGCTATTGTTTTTTTTAAAAAAAAATACTTCTAAAAAGCCTTCAGCTGTAGGCCAGGTCATTCCCCATAATAGGTATTGATGGATGCATCGCTTCCACATTGTTGGCTACCAATGGTAGCACAGCTGATGAAAATGTCTTTTAGTTACAGCATATATAAAGGGGGCAGGGGAGAGAGAGAGAGAGAGAGAGAGAGAGAGAGAGACAGACAGACAGAGAGACAGACAGACAGACAGACAGACAGGACACATCAATTTGCTAACTTCCACTCTTGGATTTTTGCTAACTTTTTGCATTACACTTGAGAGGATTGTTCTCCTTGGCCTTCGTTCTTAAATAAGGAATGAAAGCCTTTGTAGGAGTTGTCAAAGGACTAGTTCAAATAATTTGTGGATAGTGTTCCATCTGTGATGT